ATGACTTAGAAAGTGAAGGACACATCTCTGCTCACTGGCCAAACTTCACTTACAACCTTGAAACACTGAATTTCCCTGAACACATTCTTAGGTCTTCTGTAAATGCAAATGCTAGACTAGATAGTCTGCAAGGTACGTTTCAACTGTAGATTTATGTGATTTCATTCACATTTGACCCCATCTTTCATATGAGAATATAATCTTCTCATATGTGTGTGAGGCATGTATTCTGTTTTTAAAATCTGCTGTAGGAGCTAAATAACTAGATGATGAAATTAATTGATGATCTAAATTTTTCCTATCAAGTAATAGGTTACAGAAATGGTTTTCAGAAGGAAGAATATCTGCCCTGGTGTCTTCTTGCAGATAGTTATGAGTATGGACTCTGGACTTTACTTGCACCCAAATCCTTGCTCTGCCTCTTACTGGCTGAATTGGACAAGTTGCTTAATTTCTCAGTGCCTCAGTCTCTGCATTTGAAAAATGGGAATATAATCACTATTCCAGTCTCATTATGAGAATTAAATGAATTATTATACATGTGAAATACTTATAAAAGTATCCAGCATATGGAAAAAGCTCAGTATATGTTAATTATTGTTATTATTATTACTGACACTACATCATATAATTTTAGGTGACTCATCGATACATTTCATTTTAATATTTATTTTAAGGTATTTTGGAAAATTGATTGTATTTGAAAAATAGCTAGCATATCAAATCTATGATTTTATAGATGTTAAGCTTTAGAATGAGTCTAAGTTTTTAAAGGGAGGTTGATTTAAAGTGGACATAAAGAAAGATAGTAAATAAACGCTAGTATAGGTAACACAACAACACAAAAATCTTCCCAAACTAAAATTTAGGAAATACTCAAACTATACAATGTCCATTATATGAATGTTTTTGTTTAAAAAAATACCTCTTTCCTTTAAATGGCCTTGGGTGAGTTGAAACATATGCAAAAGGGATTTACATAACCAATAACTATTAGCTCAGCTGGTAACAGTAGATTTCAATTATCCAAGCATCAATTGACTTCTTTCTTCAAAAAAAAAATAGAAACAATATTTCTAAGAGGTAGGAGGAAAGAAAATTAGAAGACAGATTGTGCATATGTGAAAAAATGTAACGCTGATATGCTTCTGGTAGACTTTATACCCAGACATATATTCTGTAATGTTTAACAGAGAATTCATTGAGTTTCTAATACACTGATAACCTGACTCTGGAAAGTGTAACAATTAGAAATGACTGATTGCCCTTGTTCCTGCAACTGCTCTAACCCACACTACTCACCTATGATGGGGTTAAGACATTGTTTACTGGGATTACTGGGAGCCTGTGAAGGGCAGGGCGTTTCCTTGTTTACAGATGGAGGGTTCCCACCTGAAAGGCTCTAGAGGCGGCTGGTGGTCAGGAAAGGTAGGAACATTCTCTGTCAAGCCAACCAGGAAGGCCCTAGGGGCTTATTGGTTTCAATCCAGATCTTTGGCCTCAGCTCAGTTTAAGAACCAGCAGTTGAAAAGAGCCCACCCATTTTCAGGAAATGAAGTAGGTTATAAGCTGGGGCAAAGGAAACCAGACTTTGCCCACAAATGCAGTTAAATCAACACTCAGGGCCAAAGGGGCTTTTTCGTTACCTGACACATCTGTACTTTGAAAGGTGGCAGAGAAATCTGTACTTTGAAATATATTTTTTCTAATTGTTCCAGGTTTTCTTCCTCCTTAGCATTTACTAGAGTGCTTGTTGATAATGTTAGTATTTCACTGTGCTTAGGGGAACAAGAGGGGTGTGTGGAGAAAACCCAGGCCAAATCTATCATCCACACTAATTGTACTTACTGGGGGCTTTAGCATCTATTCTGGTCTTTAATTTCTCAAAACCCAGGTGGTCCTAGCCTTATGCCCCAGTCAAATGCACCAAATGCGTGAGATTTAAAGCCCTTTCTATATATCACAATGCTGTGTTTTATCCACACTTGAACCAGCATTTTAAAGGAGAAGTAGCTTTTTCCTTAGGAATTAAGGAATTCGTAAAGCCTTAAGAATCAAAGGAACAAACCACAAAGGGAAGCCACCTCCACTTTACCTAAAGAGGCTCATTCTAGACAGGACTGGGACCATGGTGTGCCAAGACGGCACCAAGGTTGCAGAATTTAAGGCATCCACACTCAGAGTTCTGCAAGTGCCTCCTTTAATTTTGAGGCCTCCTCTTGCCTCACCCCGAATCCCTCCCTGTTTCTAGAACTTTCATCTCCTATAAGTCTGGAGTTTATATTTTGGTTTTTTGTTTCTTCTTCAATCTAGGCTTGTCATATATTTTAATGAGAGAGGTCATTCCCTTACAAGAGTCCTGCCCTAATAAATGATGTTTGAAAATTTACTGAGCTGGTTAGAAAATAAAGAGATAAAAGAGTGATAAAAAGGAAATATACTAGATCTCAAAGAAACCAAACCTATGAAAAATAATCTAAGTAGGAATCTATAGATTATTGCCTTTTTTCTATTATTCCCCCAACAAATAACTCTTTACTATGTAGCACAAAGACAATGGTAATCTGAGTTATTTAAACAAAGAATAAACCTTTTCTTAAGGGCTTTCTGGCTTCCTCAGGTATACTCACTTTGGGGGTCAACTTTCTATCATCATAAACAAAAGAAATGTATTAGTATTACTCAATGCCCTTTGACCTTGCCCTAAGCTAGGCACCTGTTATAAATATACTCTTTAACAGAGACAATGACATGGATTTATATACACAGATCAAGAAGGCAAGACAAAAACATTTCATCAGATAAGAAACAGGGAATGTCACAGTTTACACCAGTCAAAAATAAGTGCATACAGCGAGCGCTTTGTAGTAGGGAATGCTACTAGGGCTGGAGCTTAGAACTAGATTTCAATCACTGAGTTATCTAAGCTCAAAGTTCTTCCAAACTCTAATGATCTGCAATTCCAGTTTCAGATTAGGTGGCCAGGGAATGGGGGCCAGGGACTGTATACTTAGAGTGGTGTTCAGATAGAATTCATCAAAGTGAGAAGGAGACAATTCAGTTCTTGTTTTCTCCATTCATCCTAACACTTGCTTACTCTCCTTAAAATTACCAAAGCCAAACAATTGATAAGTAATTCAAGAACAGAGTAAGAACTAAAACTGAGTAAGAGTTGAAAAGCATCATCTCTCAAGATTACATGGTGTTATTTCATACATGCAGTCAATAATTCAGTAAATATTTACTAAGCATTTGCTTTATGCAAGGCACTGTGCTGTAATTATACAAATAAGCAATTGCTGTCTAAACTTAAAATCTGGTAGGTTGTCCTGCTCAATAAGAATACACATAACCAAAGTGAAATGGAGAAGTTCAACAGGAAGGCCACAAAGCCCTACAGAGAAAGCACAGCTTTCTGACTTGGAATCCTGGTCTCCACGTAAAGCTATGTGATCCTAGAAGTGGTTCATTTCCCTTCAGTTTCTGCACTAATACTGTCAGCTGAATTTAGAACCAATCAAAACTAAATATTTTTTGCCTTCTTCAGGATATTGTTTAACAACAGTACTATTTTTAATGCATTAACTAATATTTTTAATTTATTGAGAAAATTATAATTCCCTACATTTATCTGCATATGTCATTTGATCCTCACTGCATCCTTGAGAAATTGGTTTGGCAGGCATTGTTTTCTATTTGACACGTGGGAAAACAGACCCAGAAGTTCTGCTGCAGCAGAGCTAGTCAGAAGCCAAGTCCCTCACTTCCAACTCAGAATCTTTTCATTCGGGTACACTCTCTGGGAAATTCTGGAAACAGGCAGCAAAAACCAGAAACTGAAGCAGCATACTTTTTCAAACACTATGTAAATAAATAGCAATGGTGAATAACAATGGGAATGTCTGCTAAGAAATATATAATAAACATATTGGTCAAAAGGCAAGGTATATTTAAATGTATGTTCCATCAAATATTTTTTTAAAAACAGAGGCATGAATGGAAGGCATGAAGTATTTCCATTATATTCCTGTTATTCAACCTCAACTTCCACTAATCCTCCACTGCACCTATACTTACATATGATTATAAAGGGACTTCACTACGTGGAGGGCAAAGAAAGTAAGTAATGGCACAGAACGTGCCATGTAATATTTATCCCATGTACTATAAGCTACAGATGGGAGAGAACCCAACTTTGCCCTATATCCCTCTATACTCAGCCCAAGGGGTGCTTCTCATTAACAGCTGTCCAAAGCCCGCATTATTTCTCCTTCTTATTTTGGACATAGGTCAAATGTAATTATTGCTCATAATATCTGTTGGTTTTTATCGATCCCTGGGATGTGATAAGAATTATCGTCCTGATAATTCCCTAGTTTGTTTTTCATAAAGAAGTCAATGAGGCAAGGAGGAAGTTAATCTCTTAAAAGTAACTTCTGTTTGATCAGTGCTACCAGTAATTTCAGGATCACTAGCACAACCTGCGAGAAACCGACGGTCATAAAAGTATCCAAAGAACATTTAGGGTTTGGCCGACCCGGCTACAGGTCCTTGCGCCAGACGGGGCGGATCTGGGGGTGTTCAGTCCTCAGTGTGCACAGTACCGACCGCTGGCCCTTCCCACAGGTGGCGCCGGCCGGGCAGGCGGTCCTGCGGCCAGTGCGCGGCCCCGGGGAGGATCTGGGCGGACTTGGGACTGGGGCAGTGACCTTGACAGCCCCTCCGCTGCCCGGGAGGCTCGGTGGTCACGGGACTAGGGCAGCGGCACGACAGCCTCTAGGAGGCCCGGGAGAGGCTAGAGGCGAACACGGCCACGGCCCCCCATGCTCTCGGCCGCCCCGGAGGCTCCGCCGCGCGGGGGTCTCCCCGCTTCCCCGGCCCCGGGAGGCACCTCCAGCGACCCGCCCGCAGCACACCGGGCCGGGCTCCGGCGGCGGACGAGAGGCTCGTGGGGACAGCAGTTAGGGGCCTCCCTCCGCCGCCGCCGCCGCGGGCCCTACCTCCTCGGTGGCCGTGGGGCAGTAGAAGATGAGCACGAGCGTGGTGAGCAGGTTGACGGCGAGCCCGAGGAGGGTGATGGAGTTGGGGGCCATCCAGAGCGGGATCCACTGGAGCAGCCAGGTCCAGTAGAGCTGCAGCGGCGGCTCGAGCAGCGACACGCCCGCCGCGCTGTAGCGGTGCTCCTCCAGCCGCCGCAGCTGCGCCGCGCTCAGCGGCTCGCCCAGCGCCTTCAGCCAGCGCGGCGCCGGCCTGGCCCCGGCGCCCGCCGCCATGGCCGCCTCGGCCGCAGCGCGACGAGCGCGGCCGCGCCGAGCGCGGGGCGGGAGAGCGGGGCGGGCTCGCGGCGGGGCTGCGCCGGGGCACTGGCCGGTGGGCCCGCACGCGCGCCGCGCGGAGCGCTCGCCGGCCGCCGCCCCTGCGGCCGGGTGCGGGTGCGGCCGCGGGCGGGGCGGGGCCTGGGGGTGGGTCGCCGGGCAGGCGCCGCAGGCCGGCGGGTCGCGGTTAAGGCGGTCACTTTCTGCTGGCGCCCAAGGGCGCTGACTTCCCAAAGGTCGCCTGCACTTGCTTCTGGCGTCTGATTACGCTCTCCTGAGCGAAGCCTTCTGGCCGGCCGGACGGTGACAAAGCTGGTTCCTCCACCTTGCGGTGGCGGGGGCACAACTCCGTTCTCCTGGTGTGCCTTTGGCTATCCACTGCGGGACGACGCTCCCTGCAGAGCCTGGGTGTGTTTGTGTGAGCACAGGATCTTGCAGGTCTTGGGTCGCCGGGAGTGATGGCCCATCTGTCCTACTTGGTAAACACACAAGCACAGTTCTCCCTCCCGCCACGCAGGAGGAGGAGGAAAGCGGCCCTGCCATGTGATTAGTTCTAGAGAACTCCCGGTGCAGGTTCATTGATGAAGGTGTTGCAACTAAAAATCAGGGCTCACAAACACTATCTAACAAGGGGACCCAATGGCTGAAACCTCTTAGGTTTGTTCCAGGTGGGAACCCGAAAAGTATGTATAGGATAGAATGTGGTTAATGCAAAACTTAGGCTTGTAAAAACAATAGCCACAGGAGTCTGGAGAGTCCCCAGACTTTGTAAATCTAACTGACAGCTGCAGCCAGCATTCCTTCCCCCTTCCTCCCGGATAGAAGTTTATTCCTCCCTAGCTCTCCTGATAGGAGCCACGCCAGAGCTGAAGGATGGATGTGACTGGGGCAGGGGTCTCAGGAGTTGGTTGTTTGCAAAAGAATTAATTACAAGTGGTTATTCTGGCCCACTTACTCCCCCGGGAAAAAAAAAACCCTCAATAAAACCCAAGGCTGTCCCTTTTTCTCTCCTGGACGCTTTTTGGCCTCCACCCAGCTGCACCCAATGCTCAAAATAAACAGCATTTTGCTACACATGAGGCTTCGTGTGTCTCCCTCTTGGCTCTGGACCTAACAAAACCCAAATGCCTATTTTTCAGAGCATTTGATACCAACAAGGATGGATATTTTTACACACACTCTTCCCTGGAATAGAGGGCAGCAATCCAGAAACGTCCTCTACTACACGGGGGAGCAGGCCAGCTTGCCACACAATGGTAGTTCAGCAGCCCCTTACCTCACAATGCACCCTTTTGTACTGGAACATCCTGTCATAAACATGTTCTATTGCACAACCTGAGATAGGCCTGCCACTTGCCTTGCTCTTCATCGTTCTAATCTGTATGCACTTTTCTAAGGCATAGAACAAGCCAAAAACTGCTTCTAGGATACTTAATGCTGAGCAACAACTATCAGCAGATGCATTTTGACCCCTCCTCCCACCCCTCTCCCCCAACTCATCCCAACACCTTGGAGCAGGGCTCAAACTTGCTGCCTGCAGGCCAAACCCAGCCCACCACCTGTTTTTCCTGCAGCCCATGAGCTAAGGATGTTTTTTTACATTTTTAAATGATTGGGAAAAAAATCAAAAGAAGATTTTGTGATATGACAACATATGAAATTTAAATTTTAGTACCATGAATAAAGCCATGTTTATTCCTTACATGTAGTTTGGCTGCTTTCATGGACAAGGGCAGCAGAGTTGGGTTGTGACAGAGCCCGTGTGGCCTGCAAAGCCCAGAGTATTTGCCACCTGGCCCTTTGTAGAGAAAAGCTTGGCAACTCCTGCCTTAGAGCATCATGAGGGTATCTACAGACCATGAATTGAATATATATCTCCTAATCTTTAATGTGAAAAATGATGTTGACAAATGCAGGAAGGGAAACAGAATGAGGGAGAGCCACTTTAAACAATGCAGGCTTTATGTGCAGTGAACCTTGCAATACCTACTTTTTAATGTACCAGTGTCACATATAATCCAAGGAAAAAGCCTTTTCCAGATTAATAAATTCAACTATATTAGAAATAATTTCTAATGTACATCAAAAGACATCGTAAAGAGAATGACAAGCCATAAACTGGGAAAAGATATTTCTCTCAAATAAAATCAATAATGAATAGTGCCCAGATGATATAAGGAAGTCCTAAAAACCAATAAGAAACAAAAATAATCAACTGGGCGCTTATGTTAAGATACCTATAGCAAAACCCCCAAAACATGGTGACATAAACAAAGTAGAAGTTCAGGCCAGGTGCGGTGGTTCACACCTGTAATCCTAGCACTCTGGGAGGCCGGGCAGGAGGATCCCTCCCACTCAGGAGCTCGAGACCAGCCTGAGCAAGAGCGAGACCCCATCTCTACTAAAAATAGAAACAAATTAATTGGCCAACTAAAAGTATATAGAAAAAATTAGCCAGGCATGGTGGCGCATGCCTGTAGTCCCAGCTGCTCGGGAGGCTGAGGCAGAAGGATTGCTCAAGCCCAGGAGTTTGAGGTTGCTGTGAGCTAGGCTGATGCCATGGCACTCACTCTCACTCCAGGCAACAGAGTGAGACTCTGTCAAAAAAAAAAAAAAAAAAGTAGAAGTTCATTTCTCTCTTGCATAAAAGAAGTCTAGAATCGGCACTCCAGGACTGGTATGGTGGTTCCATGATCATCAGAAACTCAGGCTCTTCTGTCTTTCTGCTCCAACTTATATCTACAAGGTGTATCTCATGGTACAGAATGGCTGCTGGAGTTCCAGCCATCCTGGTTGCATTTCAAGCAGCAGGAAAGAGAAAGAGGATAGAAAAAGGTAGATACCATTCAGCTGAGCCAGCAAACTAGGGTGCCTTTGCAAAAGTCCCGAACAACACTCTTCCATACAGTAGTCCTCCTTGCTCCATGGTTTCACTTTCCATGGTTTCAGTTACCCACACTCAGCTACAGTCCAAAAATATTAAATGGAAATTCCAGAAGTAAACAATTTATAAATTTTAAATTGTACACCATTCTGAGTAGCATGATGAAATCTTGTGCTGTCTTACCTCAACCTGCTCAGGACATTAATCATTCCTTTGTTATCTCTTTTCATAAAGGCACTAATCCCATCATCAGGGCCCCACCTTCATCTAAACCTAATTAATTCTCCAAATACCATCACAATGGCGGTCAGGGCTTCAACATGAATTTGGGAGGGACTACCATTCAGTCCATAGCAGCAGGTCATGGAAAAAAATGCACACAGTACGATTTTATTTATATAAAGCTCAAAAACATGCAAGATTTTGCATTTAGGAATCTGTACCCATGTGGCCACGCTATGAAGACAAGCAAAAAATTATAAACACAATTCTGGGTAGTTGTTACTAATGATACAGAGGACGGGAAACGTGATTATGGAGGGCACATGGCAGGCTTCCAAGATATCGGTAATTATATTAGGATACAGCTAGACTGAACAAAACAAAAAGCTTATTTTTCCTACATCTAATGTCTGGGTAGGTAACCCAGGGCTAGTATGGCAGCTCGATGGTGTCAGGGACACTGATTTCTTCCATTTTCTTAGTCTACCACCTTCAGGATGCTGCCCTTGTCCTTGTGGTCAAAAATGGCTGGCCACAATTCCCAACCAATTGGAAGGAGTAAAAGAAAGGTGACTGCTACGCTGCCTTCCTTTGAAGGCCAGGACCAAAGATTTTGCACATCCCTTCTGCTCTCGTCTCACCGCCCAGAACCTGGTCACACGGCTACTATACCTAACTGCAAGGAAGGTTGCAAATGGAGTCTGGCTAGCCAACCATTGCCCAGCTAAAATTTCTCTTACTATTGAAAAGTGGGAGCATGGGTATTGGAGGCCCATCAAACTGTCTCAACTACAGTTTTTAAGCTGGGTAGTCATAACATGTTCACTTTATTATTATCTATGCCATATATCTCCCTATATACACATAGATATAGAGATTGTATGTCCCATAAACATTTGCATTCTGTTTTGCAAATATGAAATATTTCATAATTTAAAAGTAGTAAAAGTAATAAAAATAAAAAGAACTATTTTTTTAAACACACATCATGCTCTAAGCTGATTTTCCCCTGTGCTTTTTTTGATGAATTTTTGGAAATTTCCATTTTTGAGGGTTTTTTATTGTTGTCTGTCTGTGCGTTTGCTTTAGAGATGAGGATCTCACTATGTTGCCCAGGCTCACCTCAAACTCCTAGGCTCAAGCAATCCTCCCCCTTTGGCCTCCTGAGTAGCTGGGATTACAGGCAACCACCACAGTGCCTGGCTTTGGAAATTTCAAATTAATTCAAGACATACTAAGGCATATCCGTTCTGTCTGCCTTCACCACTTCATGTAATATATTCTAATATCGAAGAAAAGTAGATTCAGGATTTCCTATTATTTTTCTTCTTGCATCCATAAATTTTTATTTGATTGTTTACCTGAATTGAATCCCTTTCTCAAAGGACAAAGGACATCTTGCTTTTGGTTTTACTACTAGTTCTTTTGTGTAACTTTCACTCATATTTTAAATCTTCCTCAGCATCCTCAGCCTCCAGGCCAACTTCTCAAATAACCAGATTGGGTACATCTGTGTGTGAAATAACCACTTCAAAATCCACTTACTTTCATTGCTTTGGAAAAAGTCATGGGTTGCAATCAAAAAATCACTCACCTGGCTAGATGTGTGGAGTAGCAGAATTTTATCATCCAGGGAATCAAGCTATCTGTGTAAGTATTTAGAACTCGGAGCTTTAGACCTACAGGCTGGAGAATTTATGATTAATATAATATTGTGGCATAAATACTTGCTTTTATTTCATTTAATTGCTTTGGTTTAATTTAGATTTTTATAGTTTTGTACTTTGAAACTCTAAAGTCCAAATTGTATGAAACTATGGTAACTTGCGAAATACAAGAGTAGATACGCTGTGTGCAATAATAGATTAACTAAAACCTTTGCTCTCCTTTCTAGAAATGCTAAATTTCCTGGAGAAGATCAGAAAACAAAATTTCACAATAGAATTTCTGAGATGTTGTAATTGTGCTTTTTATCTGGAATTGCAAAGCAATTTAGGGTTAAGGAAACAGATTTCCCTTGGCGACACAATTCTTAGCATTAGGTCTTGTTTATATCCTCTAATCAGTTTTTACTTTTATCATTTTCTGAGTTCACATCCTGCTGCTCTAAAGTGCTTCCCATAGTATGATTTGAGGAGCATTAGAGGGAAACTCACTCCTTGAATTGAAAATCTCAGGGCAAGTTACTCCTGCCTTTGAGTTAGGGCTTTTAGGAGTAACAGGTGAAGTCACATTTAGACATTAGGTTAGGTCATCAGGAATACCTAGAGGGGATATAATTATCAGGATGTTTTTCCTCTGATAACTAAGAGAGAGTGGCCCCACGTCACACCCATCCCAGGAACAAGACAGAAAGAGGCTGAAGCATGGCCTGTCTGACATGACCGAGCACACAAATCCCCCGGGATCCTGTTAAATGCACATTCTGAATTTGTGGATCTGGGCAGGTCCTGAGAGTTTTCATTTCTAAGAAGCTCCCAGGTGACAGATGCTGCTGGTCATCAAAGCACATTTTGAGTAATGAAGGACCGAAGCACACAGTCTTACAAGGCTTGGACTAGCCTGAGTAGAAAAAGAGAATGGGGACTCAGAGGGCAATTGAAAGATGAGAAAGGCCAGCTAGTCTCAATTTTGCTTGAGGCTGTGAAGGGATAGATAGGTAGATGTTTCAGACTTTATATTTTTGATTTTATGTTTTACATATATTTAAAAGACATATATATGTGTTTTATACCATGTACCTAATGATATCTACAGTGTAACTGAGGTCTTCTTTTTGGTCCTTGGTAAGCATGTTGGTTGTTGGTTGTTGATGGAGCTTTCTAAGAGAATGCTGTGCTTCCCCGACTGGGAGACCATAGCTCCTTGACAATAAATAATCCTGGAGAAACGAACATCCATTTGAAGACCTGGGAAAACAAATGTTTTTACACTAAATTCATATGTCATGGAATAGTCCCAGTGCAGGAACAGGGACTGTATTTACAATGATCCCCTGTGGACACCTAGTAGTGAGGCTGGGATGATCAGTCCAATGACACTGCATTCCACAGCCTGCAGGCTCTTTAGTGCCTGAAATTCTCCAAATGATCACATGATTTCACACCAACTTTGGTTTATTTTGAAACATGGCTTTCTTCTAATTACCCCTTGTCACAACTGTCTGAGAGGGATGCCTTACAAAGTGAATAGCAGTACCTTTCCCAGTCTCAGCATTGCTGAAAACCCTTAGTTCTTCTTTTTCTTTTTTTCATTAACTTAAAAAAAATGAAAGCCAAGGTTTTGAAGTTGGTGTATAACATTTTTAAGATGTTTCCCTGGGCTCCAAGAGTAGAATAAAAATGAGGGTAGAGTAAAACCAAGAAGGAATCTCTTGCCTGTGGATAGTGTGTACATGCTTATCTACAAAGAACAGAAAGATGCTTTCTAAAGCTATTGCTTGGAAGAAAGAGCAGTTCTAATTGATTATGCACCTGAGTGCCAGGTTTTGCTCTCTCATGACTTATTTGAGTCAGCCAGTGCTCCAAGCCACTCCCAATTCCCATCTCTGAGAGTGTTTAACTGTATCTGTCACCTCCCTGGTGTTTTGCCCCTAGCAATCTACTCCAGATGGAAATAAAAATATTTAGCGATTGCTCAGGCCAGTGCATTCAGGTACAGAGACAGATCATGACACCATGTTAAGAAGGTAATGACAGCCTTTAGAATCAGGAGAGAACCGGTTGTTCTAGTAGCAGATTTGTTTCTCAAGCCCATTCTAAATTATCAAAGTGTGATTACAAAAGGTTTCATAAATACCTACATGTAGCAGTCACCTTAATCTTTGGTCCTAGGTTGGCAATTAAGTGACCCCACTAAAATAAGGAAATAAAACAAACATAGAGTTCAATTTAGAATCAATTAATGTTATGGGGACTTGGTGAGAAGACTGGTCTTATTATTCCTCATGCTACTCCTACTCCGAGGAAAGAGAAGCCAAACTTGTATTTCTAGAATTGCATTCAGGGGAACTTACGTGAAAGAGATAGAGGGTCAGCTTGATGGGTGGGTGGAAAAGGTGGGAAGGGTGCTTGCAGGAGGGGAAGGAGGAGACACAGGGCAGGAGACAGAGGCAGCTGGTGGCTGCATGACCCCTAACTTTCACAGCCCCTTGGCTTTAATACACAAATACTTAGATTCTTCAGAGACTCCTGCCAGAGTATCGTGGCTCAGTGCCAGCCTCGGGGCTCCCTGCTCTTACGACCCTGGCTCTCTCCCGCACCACACCATGAGAGGTCTCAGGTGCCCTTGACTCATGCCCAAGCTCTAATCACATCTCCCACATCTCAACTCTTTGGTGAGCAGGTGCCTCTGGGCTACCACTTGGGCTTGGGGTATGTATACTGGCCACACGGTGCGTGCTTGGGTGTTTGAATCCACAGAAAAGGCCTTACACGTGGGCTTGGGTGCAGTCTACAAGAAGGGGGAGTTTGGTGAGTATTCCAAGTAGACCCTTGGGGTCCGTGGACCCCCTGCCTTGTGGCGGGAGACATGGCTGGGGGAGGGCTAGAGTGAATCTGTTGAGAGTGCAGCGGCTCCTCTTGCCCAAGTCTAAGGCAGGTACAGAGGGGCAGAACTGTTCAGTGCTCTCACAAAGGACATTTTCAACATACTGACTGCCACACTAGAAAAAAAAAATGTTTCCTTGGGGCCATGGCGTTTTATGACAAAAGTAGAATTAAAAACTTCGAAAATAAAACAATCCTTTCCAATTTAATGAAAAATTTATTTTTTATTGTTTTCTGTGCATGAGTTATGTGCAACTTGAAAAATAGTCCACACAGCTCCCAAGGTGAAGAGACTTGTAAGTTATCTGTGTTTCACGAGGCCCCGGGCTCAAAACTAGCATGAGTTAAATACAACTGTGAGTTGTATTTAACTGTGTTGATGTGTTACAAGTAGCAGGGAAATAGCTATGATAGCTATTTATCTGCTATAGATAAATATATCTGTTTATGTGGGATGCCACGGGATGCTCAGGTAGCTGGTGTTAGACATCGTTTCTGGGTGTTTCCAGAAGAGATGAGCATTTGAATTGGAGGACTGAGTAAAGCAGATGGTCCTCCCCACTGTGGGCGGGCATCATCCTCAGCACTTCTGGTTCTCAAGCCTTCGGCCCCAGACTATGATGTACACTGTCGTTCTCTGGTTCTCAGGGCTTCAACTGCACTGCTGGCTTTCCTAGGTCTCCATTTTGTAGACAGCAAATTATGGGATTTCCCAGCCTCCATAATCCCATGACCAATACCTTATAATGAATCTTTTTCCTAGATCTCTATCTATGTATCCAATCAATCAATCAGTTAATATGCATCTTCTATCGGTTCTGTTTCTCTGGAGAACCCTGACTAGTCCAATAGCCAAGCTACAGCCTTGAGAGCTGAAAGCCCCCAGGTCCACACGTGTCGGGGAAGTTTCAGTGTCATCTGTCTTTGAGTAGACCACACTAGGGTAGACCTCAAGAATTTCTGCCGTCACCCGTGTAGACTGAAGACCAGAGGCCTCTCCTTCTCTCCATTTTCTAGGCATCAGGAAAGATTCCAATTGACTCTGGAATCTGAGGCTGTACTAGGATCCCCCAAATGAGACAGAATCGGTCAATCTCCCTAGCTAATGGGGAGCTCAGAGTCATATTTAATTTGATTTAAAAAAATGAAGTATTTAATAATCTGGTTATGTCCTGACTCCATTCTAGTGTGGTACATATATTGATAATAACAAATACACAAACCACATTATCCAACTTCTGAATCATTATAGTCCTCTCATACTGGCATTCTGCCCTGTTTATATGTTGCCCTTTGTGTACTAGTCTTTTTTTTTTTTTTTTTTGAGACAGAGTCTCACTGTGTTGCCCTGGCTAGAGTGCCGTGGCCTCAGCCTAGCTCACAGCAACCTCAAACTCTTTGGCTCAGGCGATCCTCCTGCCTCAGCCTCCTGAGTAGCTGGGACTACAGGCATGTGCCACCATGCCCGGCTAATTTTTTCTATATATATTTTTAGTTGGCCAATTAATTTCTTTCTATTTATAATAGAGACGGGGTCTCGCTCTTGCTCAGGCTGGTCTTGAACTCCTGACCTTGAGAGATCTGCCTGCCTCAGCCTCCCAGAGTGCTAAGATTCCAGGTGTGAGCCACCACACTCAGCCTATGTATTAGTCTTATATATTATAAATTCCTGGGTACGAAGTAGCTTAGTCATCCCTGAGTTCCAAGCTGAATCTATTAGTGCTAAGCACACACTAGACATACAATTACTCATTTTTTGAGCTGAAAAGAGTGGTTCAGAATTCAATTTAAAAATAAATGAGGTTAAGGACATATTATCTTGTTCTAACATTTCTTAGACCTAACGGGGTTTTTTTTCTATTTCTATATTGATTTAGATGAGAAAATTCATTAAGCTTTCTTTTAAAATAAATAAATATGATCCTTTCAGCATTTTAATGAATATTTAGTTCCCCCCAAAGTTTTTTGGTAAATTCCTGTGATAGTATATAATTTTTCTTTAATAGGGTGAAATTTAAGCAAAATTAGAACAAAATTGTGGGAAACCATAGCAGTGACAGCTTCTGGCATTTTTTGCTTCTTGCAGTTTCACTATACACTTTTTCGTCCCTATTGGAACTTTGCAGTATTAAAGTATGAGGACCTTTAATATGAGGAGAGATTATATGTAGAAAAGTAACATTATCTATTGATAGCATGAAATATAATTAGAGAGACAAAGTCATGAGTGGAGATCTAAAATTCTATAAGTAGTAATTCTGTAAGTAAATTCTTAATTCTGTAAGATCTAAAATTCTTACAGTCACTTTTAGGCTATGTTTGTAAATGGCCTAATGAACTTGACCATGGCTTGGCAAAATCAGCCAATGAGCATTTATTTCAGTTAGGCGGCCAGCTCAGCTGGGGCACTGTGGCTGGGACCCAGCAGCCAGGCTGCAAGGGCCACACTGATTGGTTTTGCCAAGCTGCCATTTTTTTTTTGTTTCGCACATAGAGATATGGTCTTCACATCTGTATAGATGAGCCAGACTTCCCACAATAATTTGGACACAAACTAGAGTTTTCCTTTGCTCTTCTCAAATGTGCTGCGAGTACCTGGATCATCCACCCTTCCCTATATCAGCCCAACATCAATCCAGATCCATGACCACCATACAATTGCCCAGCTCTAATCTGGTAAGGAAGCAGGGCAGATATTTTTAAATGTCATCCAAAGATGCTATGGGCCTACCTGAAAGTCACAATATGTTTAGCCTCTGCAAGAAAAAACCAAAAAGAAAAAAAAAAAAGAGGGTAGGTGAGGGAATAAACAATAATGGTGTGGTACCTTATAAGTTCTCTTTTGCTCCCTTAATTGAAACTTTGTAATATCAGGAAGAATTGAGGAAGTTGCTCAAAAGATTATGGGCTAGTACAAATATTTCTTTGCTAAATTTCTAAAGAAAGTTTCCATCAGAATGCACGAATTCTATCTGCAAACCCTGAATCTGTAACTGCTCTGTGGTCTGTTACATCCTGCTGTATCACTATGACTAGCTGTTTTGGCGGAAGCGCTGGTGGGTTTGGCCAGGATGCCCTGCCAGAACTGATTTCAGTATCGTCCTGGCTCCCAGCTTTTTTTCTCTGTTCTGTGTCTGAGTACACAACCCCAAACCCACAAATAAAGATTGTGTCATTTCATCATAAACACTTCAGATTTACTGCACCATTTACTAAATACATTTTCCCTTCTACTGAGAAAGTTCGTTTGAAAGTTAAACTTTAAGAAATGTTCTACTGAATTCAGAGAGGCCGAGGTGGGCAGATTGCTCAAGGTCAGGAGTTCGAGACCAGCCTGAGCAAGAGCAAGACCCCGTCTCTACTATAAATAGAAAGAAATTAATTGGACAACTAAAAATATATAGAAAAAATTAGCCAGGCATGGTGGCACATGCCTGTAGTCCCAGCTACTCAGGAGGCTGAGGCAGAAGGATTACTCAAGCTCAGGAGTTTGAGGTTGCTGTGAGCTAGGCTGATGCCACAGCACTCTAGCCCAGGCAACAAAGTGAGACTCTGTCTCAAAGAAAAAAAGAAAAAGGAATTATTTTACTGAATTCAGATGAGAAAAAGAGGCGCAGCTCCTGGTGTTAAGCAGGCCCGCTGAAATAAACAACTCTGCTTTGCATAGAAAAATCTGTTAGATCAAGAGAAAGATGGGTTTTTAAGATTCAATTGTGGTGTGTTATATCATGTTTTTTATTCTGGGGGGGAAAAGCATTTACAGCCAATTATTTTAAACTAAAATAACTCCTTTTGCTTATTCTACAGATCGTTTTTTTGTAAAATACAGTGACCACGCACAGACAACAATGACTAAAGTGCTGACTTCAAATAAGATTGTTTTTGCAATTTTTAATTAAGCAATCTGTGCAAACATTTTTTTTTTTCTCTTCAACATTAGGAGGAAAGAAAATGATCACACTTGGGGGCCTGATGGAAAAACAGAAAATGCTTTCTCATTGCAACCAGATTCAAAGCAGCAGAGTGCAGAGAGGCAGTGCCCTCAGTATTCCTCAGGATCGCTTGATTGCAAGTCTCGCAAATAGGAATCAATTATATTTGGAGGCACACCTTGCAAGAGGAGCCTGCAGAAGGAGAGGCCACCTGGAGAGGACAAAAAGGAAAAGGGACAAGTCAAAACCATCCAAGTGAAAAATCACTGAAATAATACTTCTTGACTAGCTGCCTGAAAATGTGACTAATTTACACTCCTGTTAGTGACAAAGATTCATTCAGTCCCTGCTTGGCAATCTTTTCTGGTTTTAGTACATTTAGAATTTAAAACACTTGGCCTCTAGAAAGAAAAGCAAGTTCCCAGCAGATTCATGGCAGTGTTGTTTCCTCTACTATTGTTCAGTCTTGGTTGAAATTCCTAAATAGCATTTATTGCTCTCTGAGAGGTTTTGTGATTCCTCATGGATGATTTAAATAATCTGATTGAATGGTACAATTAACTCATACCGTGTTATGGATCAGTGGGAAGATCCATTTCTAGTTTGTTAATGTGCTTTTTAATTAAGCACAAGAAGTTCTTATTCAAGCACATTGGAAAAGAAAAAAACTACTCCCTATAACTTTGGCCATTTATACCTTGTCAAAAGGGCAAAAATTGAAACTATTTTGTTATTATATACTAAGACCGGTCCAGTATCTTCTGAAGGTTGACAGAAACACCTGCTAATGTTCCATACCTACCTTCTGAGTTTCTGAATTATATTTAAAAGATAAAAGTACCCTTCAAGAGAGAATCCACGAAACCACAAAAATTCATGATCCTTAAGTGAAGTGCTTCACTACTCGCTAATAAATTCACATCCAGACAAAACAGCATGCCATTTGAGCATTCTTAAAACTCCTTTAATGCAAATTTGAGAAAGTCATTCTCCTTTTTTTAAAAAAAAAAAAACAACTCCAGTCACATATTGGTAGAAATGATGCCACTTATGTACATGTCCATTCCTTGATGCAAAGAATCCAGAATGCTTGGGTATCACTCATTTTCATCTACATTAAATGCTTTGACTCATGCTCCACTGCATTCAAACAACTTGCTTCATGTCAACAGGAGATTGCTGATGAATAAGTACTAGCTGTTAATTTCAAGATACTGAAATACAAATTAAAACTACAAAGTTAGCAATTTTAAGGAGTCTATTTTCATTGGATTATGTAATGAAAATCATGCCATACTCTACAAGCTTGGTATGGCTTATGAGAGTCATAAGCTTCATATGCCAAAACCATATGAAAGCTTACCTTAGATGACAATATACATTCAAAAATCCTTACTGTGCAACAACTAAGGAAAAGAGAGAAAGAGAGAGAGAGAAAGGGAGAAGTTGTGAGCATTAATAAAGTGCTAACACCAACGTTGAGTATTTGTTGGATGAAATTATGGTCATGATTATGATGAGGTGATGTCATTAATCCTTAGTCTTGTGAAAAATGTAGGAAAATAAAAGCACATGAAATGAAGGGTGGGAATCCAGTCACTTCAAAAGGATCATTAATATGTAAAACATTTATTAATAGGCACAACTACTTTGCCTGATTTGGTGGCAAAGACAATCTGATTGAATAGTGAATATTTATGGTAAGAGCTTTCAAACCATTAGCTTAAAACAAAACCAAAAACCCTACAACATATATATATTGTGTTTTTCAACAAAAGAAAAACTTTGACAGTAGACAAAGTGTTAGTGTACATATATATATGTTGAAATTCTAAAAGGCAAAATTATCAAGTATAAATATTAGACTAGTGTATTCTACAATATTATATTACGAACTGAATATATATGACTGATCTAAAAAATCACAAGGCTTAAACTTAGGCTATAAAGCTACTATATGTATAATCTACAAAACTTTAAGAAAAGAACCCTAACTTTTTCCTCTTTTGAAAGCTGATATTGTCTCTGGAAATTAAGAAAGCAAATATTGTAAACTTAGGCATAGCTCTACATAAACTCTCTCATAGAGTTTATATAAGGTTGCCTACCCAGCACCAAGGAACTCTTCATTTGCTTCCTCAAATGGGGGTGACTCATACATATATGATAGTATAATTTGTTGCTTAATACATTTTGTAATGGGGCCTAGAATTTTCTCTCCTTTAAAGTTCATAAACACATGAAATAATTTTGGTCCCCATAAAAATGTCCAAAATATCCAATAAATAGATGGGTGGTTACAGATATTCTACTGGTGAATTTGTGATCAGAACATCTTAAATATGAAACTTTCCAAATATTGGACCTATTTTTATATCCTCCATCAAAAAGGCCCAGAACATTTTTTTCTATAACTTAGCAAGTTTAAAATGTTCAGTTTTCTGAATTGCATCACAAATCTCAGGAAAACTATGCTGTGAACTATTTTAAAGGAAGAACAACATATCTTTCTACATTTAAAAAAAAATGAAACTATTAAAGAAATATTGATTCCCAAGTTGTGACAGTCTTATTATATAAAATAAGATCACCTTCAAAGGTAGCTTTCTGGCTTTATTTATGGGGACATATGGTACAGTACTTTGTTTTCTGACAAAAAACTTAGTTTCTGCATTACTTAACATCCTTGAATAATTTGGCCTTCCTTGTTCATGGCATAGGCCCAGTATGCCATGAGCTGCTAAGAAATACAATTAAAAGCAAATGAGAAAGGCAAGCTTTACATGCAGAGTGCATTTTCATGTAAGAGGAATGGAACGGAAAATAGAAATATCCAGTGGGATATGAACTTTTAAAACCTGTTGCTGCCCCTCCAGGAAGACTGGTTGTCCAGGGGTATCTACTCCTTGATATATCACTGCAGAATTAGAATATTGGTACCAGTATTTATTGATTCTTAGTTGACATTCTTACCTTTTTTTTTTCACAGCTTAACTTGATTCAAGTTACCTATTATCAGATAACAATCTGACGGTAAACAATGTCAGCTTTACTTTTAGGACCAAAGCTTTTATCAGTATATCACAGTTGATACTTTATTTTGAACTTACGTACTAGAATGCATTACTCTTAATATTAAATTGAATTACTGTACAATTTACTATACAATAACTATAAAAAATATATCAAGTGTATGCATAACATTATTCACTTTTAATGAAGGCCCCAAATATTGAGCAATTTATGAAATGATCATTTTACAGCATTAACAACATTCAGTTATTTCCAAAGCATGAATAAGTGGCACTGGTTTTTTGTTTTTTGTTTTTAGGGGGATGTTGAAACAGAATCATCAAGAATACCTCGGAAGTAATAAAGCTAGTAGTTTAAAAACCAGATGATTTGCAACTATGACCTTATTCATCATTTAAAGCTAATAAAGTAGCTGAAATAATAATGTTTAAAATGAAGACTATCTCAATAAGGTCTGAAATTTTCTAAGAGTATTTTATGCTTTATATTTATGAGGAAAAAATACATTTTTTCCATTTAGCTATGAATAATAAGAGAAAAACAATGCTTTAAAAAGTTATAAAAAGGAAGTTATTTTCTTCAAGTAATTTCTCTACCATATTTACCCTACATTTAGGACTAAAATAATCTTTTTTAAAAAAACATAAATACCCCAGGCATTTACTATGATTTTCTAAAACAGATATTTACAAAATCATCTTTCTGGCTTTTAGACCATAATTTCTTCATTATAGAGAGGTAGGAAAAATAAAGACTTTGGTTATCACAGAATGGCAATATAATACAGTTAAGAATGAAAGAAAACACATTAGGATCATGTCACCTATTATCTCATAATGGTGACTCTTTGTTTGAAGGGGTTTTCATGGTGTCCCAAAGCAGGTTCTGCTTATAAAGAAAAACTTAAACTTCAGCATAATAATGATAATCAATTAATATGCAAATTGTTAAGATGGTAGCTCATGCTGAGACACTGCTACCACATAAATCCTTATGTGTTTTCTTGATTTACATTAATCATCACACTTCAGAAAACTAGTATAAATGAAATGTATGCCTATAAATAAAAATTCTCTAATTAGAGATTTTTTTAAAAACTAGTTTTAATATGTGTATACTATATTCTATATGTGTAACATCAAACACTTCATTAGCAAATGTATCTATATAAATATTAGAAGTTTCACAAAATACTAAACTAATTAAAAATAGTGTGACTTCCTCAATTGCAGTTTCACTAGATGGGTTTTGGCACTAGGTTTGTATTTATAGATGGACATGTCACCAAAGTGACAGCCCCTTGACTCTATGTATTCTCACTATTCTGTACACAAACTACCATGCCACTGAAATTAATATTCCTTAAGTTAACAAAAATCACAAAACATGATAATAAGTTGATCTAAATAACCAAGTAGGCCTTCAACAAATGAGTGAATACAGAATGTAAAAATGTCTCCCTGAATTCCCTTCTTGCTTCTCTAGCCCTATCCCACCCCCTGCCCCAGCTGTAGCATTTTGACAAACAACTTAGATTTTGCATTAAGAACAATAAATACATGATTTTCTTTAACTTTAGTCTACACATGAAATCTTGGATATCATACCTTTCACCTCCAGTTTGCATTCTATCTCCACTTCCCCCAGGTCGTTGACTGCTTTGCAGCAGTAAGTGCCTCCGTCATAGGGGCTAGGCTTACGAATCTCCAGGGTACAGACCCCCTGGTTGCTGAACATCCTGTATCTGGGGTCGTCCACAATAGCAACTTTGTTTTTCATCCAAGTTATTTTAGGCTGAAGATTGAAGAGAGTTAGGTCAAAATACATCTGTACTTAGCCTACCATCAAAGCCAGTGACAGAGTTTTAAAGCGCAGCTTAAAAAGAAAGCACATCTATGAAGAATAGACAACTACTTGAGCACTGTTTATCTCAAATGAAATTTTACTTTGTGCTTGGCAAAAAAAAGCAAATGGGCAGTTGTGAAGAAGGAAGCCAGATTTGTTCGAAGGACAGTTTAGGGCAATCTTCCCAAATGGATTCAGTTGCATTTGAATTTGATCTACTTAGGTACAAACTTTAGTCATAAGACAAACAAGTGCTGGGCATCTAATGTACAGCATGGGTGGGGATAGGCCTCTCTCCTAAGCTCGTGGTGAACCTCTCCATCTGCCAGCTCCTCGTTCCCACCTGGATGCACCAACATCACTTCCCATCAAACATTCATTCATTCGGCATCTTCCTCCCATCCTCAGTCCAGCTCTTTCCTTTGACTTCCCTATTTCTGTTCAAGACATATACAGGAAAAATACCACTGTTTACAGTTTTTCCAAATTCTATGGCACTTTTCCGCAGTGCCACCCGGGGACATAGATCTCCATGGGCGACATTCATTAATTCATTGTTCTTTTCAAGTGCAAACTTGAAACCTTAAAACCATCCTAAGTCTCTTCAATCAGATGTGATATCTCCCTTCTTAGCACTCTGTGTGCCCTTATCAAAGTGGGCTTTATATTCTGTCTTGCATTACAGTATAATTGTTATTTACTTTAACTTCCTACAGAACTCTCAATGAATCAACATTCCTACCTTATTTCCCAGGTGAAAAATTATTGCTTTCATCTCCTTACCTCTCAGTTCTTTTTAAAATAGGTGGTTTTCTTTTTCTTTAGAAGGTATCGCTTAGTCAGTAAAGATATATAAGCATGTTTTACTACCAGATTTGAATAGCGTACCTAACTGCCCACCAACACCAACACCCTTTATCCATCTCCCCCCATCCTGGAGAGGCACAAATAGCAGCAGGAAGGTCTATTTATATTATCACTTACAATTATAACGTGGCGAGTATAAAAGAGGGACTTCAAATTCAAATGACATGGTAGAGAAACATGGTACCTTAGGGTTTCCTCTCACGCTGCAGTTCAGGGTGGCATTGTAACCAGCTACTGCATAGGTGTTAACCAAAGGCTGAGTAAACATGGGTGCCTCTGTGAAATCAAAGTCGTCGTACACTGGATTCTTGTAGACTTTACCTTTAAAAAAAAAAAAAGCATTAAAAATATGTTAAAAATATGCAAATCGGCCTGAGAATATATTATTCTTGGCATGCTTTACATATGATTCAAACTTCCCTGAGCTTGGAAAACATGTAAAAACATGAGTGAATGCCCACTCCGAGGGGTACACATGGATAGCCAATCGCATGAGGGACAGAAAGCCAGAGTGGTCATCTGAAACTGAAACAGATAGTGAGAAGACTTCTGTGTCTTTCTGAGTATTTTGAACAGAAATGTGTTCTAATATGAAAATCACAAGGACTGGCTTTAAGGAGAGTGATTTATGGTGAAGTAAAATGATAAGGACAGA